AAAATACTGGAGTTTCAGCTTCAGCATCAGTCCTTCCAATGAACACCCAGGAGTGATCTCCTTTAGAAGAATAGAAAACTATATTAAGAGAAAGACCCATGTTTAGCAGGGGACTGGGCTTGGAGGAAGGGATTAACTGCTAAATGAGATGAAGAATATTTGGGGGCTTATGGAAATGCTGTATATTTTGGATGTGTTGGTAGAAGATACATGAGTGTACACATTTGTTAAACTGTACAATTTAAATGTGTACAGTTTATTAAATGTAAACCGTACCCCAGTAAAGCTGGTTAAAATAAAACTAAATAAAAGCATCATATCCAGCAGATACCACGGTTCATCTCACTCAGTAACCTACCCATCACTTTACAGAATGTCTTCCTCTGCTACAGAGAGAATATCAGGGTATAGAGGCTAGAAACCTACAAAGCACATTCCCCATTTTTTCTCACTGCTTTCACATGTGACTTATTTATTGATCACAAACAGATACCCTCACTCAAGAATTTACTTAGGAAGAGAATTTTGTAGAAAGAAGGGTGGAGAACAAATCATCCATTTTTCTTGTGAGGACTAAGGCAAAGACAACAAGTTAGGAGAGCTGGCCACTTCCAGACTGAGGCAACGGCTTCCTTGGTGGCCCATTTCTGCAGAGAATTGTTGGAAGTAGCCTCTAAACAAGCCTAGAGTCTATATTTCTGGTGTGTCTACTAGCAATGCTCAATAATAATTTCTTCATTCCTAAATTGAATAAAATAGAACTTTAAATGGATACAGAATTTTCAAGCAGCCACAACTCAATATCAGCTAATTTAAGAGACCCCTCTAGACCAACAGCCTTCCCATTCCTCGCTCTGTTAGAGAGGAGTCCCCTGTTGGATTCATTCTACGTGCTTCATAGCTATGTTCCAGTGTGGATTTTGTGGACTCTCACTGTACAGGTTTATGGTTGGTCCATAATCAAGACATAATTTCTCACTCATTTCCAGCTGGAATTTATAAGATTATTTATGTCCAAACTATTGGGACATAATCTTTCCACATCAAGATTTTCTGATGTCAAAAACAACAGGAAACTTACTCCAAGGACTTTGCCAGCAAAGGTCCTTATGGTTAAAGCTATGGTTTTTCCAGTAGTCGTGTATGAATGTGAGAGTTAGACCATAAAGAAGGCAGAGCACCGAAGAATTGATGCTTTTGAACTGTGGTGTTGGAAAAGTCTCTTGAGAGTCCTTTGGACTGCAAGAAAATCAAACAAGTCAATCCTAAAGGAAATTAATCCTGAATGTTCATTGGAAGGACTGATGCTAAAGCTGAAGCTCCAGTACTGTGGTCACCTGATGCGAAGAACTGATTCATTGGAAAAGACCCTGATGCTGGAAAAGATTGAAGGCAGAAAGAGAAGGGGATGACAGAGGATGAGATGGCTGGATGGCATCACCGACTCAGTGGACATGAGTTTGTGCAGCTCTGGGAGATGGGGATGGACAGGGAAGCCTGACGTGCTACAGTCCGTGGGGTCGCAACGAGTTGGACATGACGGAATGACGGAACAACAACAATAGCAACCCCAGGGAAGTTCCAAGCTGAATGTGCTTCTACCTCCACCAGTTCCCCCTCTGCCACTTAGCATTGCAGGGCCGCGTAGGTCTGCTTCCTGAAGTAATTTCTTTCCCTTGGCTATCCCATTATTTCCATCTTCAGGTTTTGGTTCGGCTGGGGAAGAGAGACATCAATCCAAAAGAGCATTCCTGTCAACTCTCCCGTTCTTGCCCTCGATGGAGCCCTGATAGCTTCCCTTCAATGAAAACAGCTGAGTCCCTTTGGCACCGCCCACCCTGAGTCTGCGGCAGTAAAATAGGGGCGCTGTGAATTGTCCTTTTCCTCTCTCCTTCCATCTCATGGTCTCCTGCACTTTTGTCTCTGCATTCCTGTTTGTGTCTACTTCATTCTCTGGCTCCGGCTGTTTCTCTCTCTCTCTCCATCCTTAAAGACAGTTGTATTTGGTGCAGCTGATTCACACATCTTGATTTTTCTCATTTACTTAAATTTTAACTAAATCAGATGGTTCTATACAACTGTTGAAAACATCACAGGTGTTAAGGAAACTACCATGACTTTCTCTCCCTCTTCCAGAATTATGTTATGCTTCACCACGTGCCAAAACCCAGCAGAGGGCATCCTTCCATTTCAGATGCACAAATACTGCAGGGGAAAGGTTCTACAAGCCCAATAATATCCTCTATTTGCAACTGTGCGTGGAATCTAAATAAAGTGGCTATCGCAGGAGGAGGGGAAGTTGTTATGTAACTGTGTTGGACTGGTTTGTCTCCGTTTTGAATTATAAATCTAGAAGTCATTCCTCTTTTATCAGAAAAAGAAAGTGGGGGCGGGGGGAATCTCTGCATCTGACCTCTCTTCAGACTTGGGGCTTCAAATTTCAGAAGCAACAGGGTAGCACGTGTGTGATTCTTCTACGTCTAGGCTACTTTGTGTGAATAAAGTGATCACAGAGGCAGTCACTGAGAAAGAACTCTGCATTCCACCTCCATTGTCGATCACGCTCTCCCTCTATCCCTGAAACTGAAGGACAGATCACAGGAGAGGCGCTTGGGCGGGCGAGACAGAGAAGCAGGAAGAAGATGAGCGTGGCTAAAGTCAGAGCAGCGGCTGGGCCAGGCTTCCTGCCCCGAGCGATCTTAGTCATCACCCACCAAGATCCGGGTGCAGCTTCGCAGAACTTAACGCACCACAGGGAGAAAGATCTCACATGGTCAGAACTTTTTCCCAGCTTAAAAAGCAAATTCGCACAACCTTGTGCTAGTGATTCTCTCCCCGGCGTGGATATGTTCTTCAGATTGTGTCCCCTCTGGAAGAATGTCTTAGAGAAGGGAAGAATATGAAGGGACAGTATAGCATCAGTCCCACAGCCGTTTAGTGTATGTGTTTGAGAGCTTTGTGGCAATCTCTGTCCTAGGTGCCAAGAACAGAGCAGCAAACTAGCGACAATTACTTTCCTTGAGGTGATGCGCCGGGGTACAAGGGCCTGGGGACTCGGACTGACCTAACACAGAGCCCTGCCGATTACCCAGCTGTGTGCCTTGGCGCAAAAGGATGTTCTCTTTTTCAAAACAGGGATGAAAATTGCTACTATTTATTGAAAACATACTTTGTTCCAACCATACGAACTGATTAATATTTTATATCACTATGTAACTGATACATATAATTATATAATAATGGGGCTTCCCAGGTGGCGCTAGTGATTAAAAAAAAAAAAACAACAACCTTCTTGCCAATGCAGAAGACGCAAGAGATGTGTTTCGAGTTCAGGGTCAGGAAGATCCTCTGGAGTAGGAAACAGCAGCCCACTTCAGTATTCTTGTCTGGAAAATTCCATGGACAGAGGAACTTGGCATGCTACAGTCCACGGGGCCTCAGAGTTGGACACGATTAAGTGAGCACACACACACACACACACACATAATAATAAAATAATATAATACACACATACATAGTAAAACCCTCACAGCTAGCCTAAGAAAAGTTCTGCTAGTATTCTCATACAAAGGAGGAAGCCAGGTACAGAGTGATTTACACATTTTCCAGCATTAGAAGTATCAGAGCATGAATTTGAAACGATGCTGCCTGACTCCAAGGCTATCTTGCCTTTTAACCAGTGTTCCAGAGACTTCATTTCTAAAGTTAGACTGATGGTTAGAGGAGTAACACATGTAAGCAGAGAGTATGCTATAGTGCTTTGTAAAACCGATGTATTTATCTGCCATTATTATCTGTTCCATTGCCGTGGGTTTCTGGGACCTCAGGCTCCATTGCTGTGGGTTTCTGGGACCTCAGGCTCAATACTTCAATCAAAATTCTTCTCGTTCAGAATCAATCTGTGTCCAGCTCTGGTTGAAAGTAAGACTGCATGATGTCATAGCTAGTGAATCATGGCTTTTCTGCATTAATCTTTCCATAAGATGGCAGACTGCCTCTAACAGCCACGGCTCTAGGCAGGACATCAGATACAAGCTCCCTGGAGCAAACAGGAGCACTTCCTGCTAAGAAAAAGCTCCGGCTTTTTCTCACTTTCCCTGAAACCTGAAGGTTACGACCAGACTTGAGAAATTAATATGTACTTATTTCTCACTGCACTCAAGGCACCAGAAATATCAAGAAAAATACAGAATGCCATGTAAATTAATTATTGCAATTCAATAATTGTTGAACTTTTCTGTTCTCTGACCAGTGACCTTGTCAGTCTTACCTCCCCAGCCACTGGCATCCCTCAGCTCTTTGCTCTTCCTCTTCCAAAGTGTTCCCTCCAGAGCCCCCTTCTTGGGCTTCTTACCGATGACATACATTCATAGATGGATGGGGGTTATTATGCTAACGGTGTTATTCAGAGAGCAATGAAGGAGTCAGGTTTTTTTCGCTGCTGTGGGAATTCTCCGCTCTGCTCACTGTAAGCCTGCATTTGTGTCTCACACTCCTGCATTACTCAAATCAAGAATCATTTTAAACAACAAGCAGATAAAATTCTGGCTACAGGCCCTATTTCGTATTGATTTCATTTCATGACTGTCATCTCAGTTTCATTAAGTAGGAAATTGAGTGTTTGATAATGTAGTATAGGAGAATTCACAAATGCATATCTCATATATTCCATTTTCCTTGCCTGCATTTAAAAAAAGTTTTTATCCCATATGTCAAGCTTCTCAATTCAAAACTCAAGTCAACTAACCATTTTTAAAATGTATTTCTATTCAAAAAGACAATTTCATGCTGATTTTGTCTCACTACGACTGTGTAGGGATGAACACTGTACTGATACATCATTTGGGATAGAAATAAGCGCCTCAAACCCGCTGGATTGGACTCTGAAAATCAGTAAGTGTGCTGGTAGCTGTGATGCAAGTTGCTTTGTCATAGGTTTACAGATTTCTATCAACACTGGTTGGGTTCAATAAAAAAGATTTTCCTTAGCAGATACTTACCCCGAGATAGTGGCCGTCAATGAACACGACAGGGAGAGAAGGAGCTTCAGAAACCCGCCGGCATCGTTCGTCTAACTCTTTTCCATAGTCACCATTCAGAGCTATGTTTTTCTCTTCAAATTTGACTCGATGGTTCTGGAAGATCTTTCTAACCAGTTCACACCTTTCAAAGGTCGTCCGTACCACCCGAAGGCAAGTGGTATAAATCACTACCCGGTCAAATTCCAGCTCAGTTGATGGTTGCTGAAGGAAAACATTAGAGTATAAATATTTTGCATTTGCTTTCTTCTCATTGTTTTAAGACAATTAACATTTCAGCCCATGACTTACATGTTAAATGTGTACAATACAAGTTGAATAAGCACCATATTGGACAATTCTAAGGCATGTCTTTATATTTTAGAACATCTATAATTGCAATAAAAATGGCAGTCAACAGAATTTAGATGACATAATTTAATTGATCATATTTTTTTCTCTTCTCAGTAGCACATCAGATAATGGTGCATCTTAAAATTGATGATGTCTCACATGGCACGCCATGTGATGAAATAAGGAACGGTAAAATTATTTTTCTCATCTTTTGTAGACATCATTCAATTATGATAGTGGCCTCTCGTACTCAAAGTAAAACACGGGACAGAATAGTCAATGTTAAAATTTAACCTTTTGAAAATTCTTCTGCTTATCAACTTACCAAATTTTAAGGTTTTTTGAGCCACAATTTCCTGAGAGTAACAAGACCTATATCATAGGGTTGTTCTGAGGTTTGAGTGTGCATGCCTGAGTTCTGCTGAGTGACAGGCTGCCACGTGCAGTGAGAGGTCTCCACCACTAGGAACAAAGGGTTGAGCAGCTCAGAGAGAGTGTATAGAAACAAGAAGAAGGTGGGCAGAAGGTAAAAGCCAGACATGGAAAGGAATAAAGGAGATGGTACACGGCAACAGAGGCAAGCAACTCTCAAAGCCAAGGTGAAGACTCCTAAAACGAGAATCCATCTTTGTCTGTGTTTCCTGCTGCATTAGAAATCAGTGACTGCATTCCTGGGAAACCCTGCTGACACTGCGAGCACCATATCAGCTAGGTGGTCCTGACATCACCAGAACAACATCATCCTCTTCCTCCTTATCATAGTCTTACTTGAAGGAGACTGAACAGAACCCAACTACATACCATGAGTTCAAGGGATACGTGAGTCTCCACAGGGCTACAGTTATTGAAAGACAACCATACAACTTGTAAACTCCTGTGAAATCAAAACTTTGATTGGAAATCACTCCACACAGCTAAATAGTAGAACCAGGAGGTATCAAGAAATTGAACCACTCAGCCAGATGCAGACACACAGATAGTCCTGAAAAGGTATGAAGTGATGAGGATGGCAGTGCAATGGTCTACTCATCATTGAGAAAGAGGATATTTTGTTTTTCCTGGTGGTAAAATGTACTAAAGACATAAGAATCACTTCTTCCCTCAACAGAACTTAGAGGCTGAGTTGAAAACCAGAGCGCTGGAAGGGCAAAGCCCGCGTCGTGAATACTGGAGCAGGCGGGGAGTGAGAGAGGCGCTAGTGAGAGGCAGGAAGCATGTCATTTGAAAAGGGGAAAACAGAACTCCGCTGCAGGCACATTTCAGGATTTCAGTCAGGTTACTTAGTGTTGTCAGATAAGATTATCGTAAATATAAACTTGAAATCTGGATTTTCATAAGAAATTTTCTGCTCTCTAAATAGTGGCACCTCGTTAAAAAATATATTAAGACCCTTGGACCAATATCATTGAAGGCTGAATTTGGCCTATAGACGGGAAATGTATTAACACTGGAAAGGAGAGAGTCCCGGGGAGTTATATCATATATTCCTGGACAATGCCTCTGGCCATCTGTGTCTCTGAGAAGTTCCTGAGCCATTTAGCTCAGTTTCCTCATCTGTAGAATGTGATAATATCTGTAGATACCAAACAGATTTGATGAGTAGATTAAGTAAGAGAGAATAAGAAAACAACTGCTGCAGGGCTTAAAATAAAGTACTGTGTAAAGTTATAACTGCAAAAATATTACACTCCACATTGTGGAACTTTTAAGAATAAAACCACAAGCAAAAATAAATCAGTGGAAAATATTAGTGAAATTAATAATATAATTTAAAAAAAGAGGACTATTACTATGCTTTAGATTAAGAAGCACTGATCTTCAAAGAGGGTAACCAAATGCCCAAGAGCCTCTGGTTTCCCCTCGTACATTTATGGACATGCTGGGAATCATTGAACTCACTGTAAATGTTGCAGCTTTTGGAAGAGCACTAAGGTTCTCTTCTTCCTAACGATATTATCTGGGTAATTATGCATTGTTCCTCTGGTTGCAAAGACATAACTGCATTTGTTTGTACCAAAATGCTCCACCTTTTTCAGTGGTATACGTATTGTTTTAAATATTTGATAATAAATACAGTTCCCCTATGTGAAGAAGTGGGAAAGTTTAAGATTGGACCTTTCTGCTACCACAACAACTGACTCACATAGGATTCTCTCTGCTAGGAAACAAATGCTTGGTACCACTTTCCTATGTGTCTCTAAGAAATATACATTTAAAAAACAGTAACAGCGTGAATCCTTATTGGGTGGCCATGTTAAATGCTGTCTAATGCAAAGGGTAACAAAAATATTCCTATACAGCTATTGTTGAGGATTAGCTCTGTTGCCTGAAATCAATGATTCTACAATAGTATTTGAATAATGTTTTTATACATTTAAAAAAACATGGGTGGCCATGTTAAATGCTGTCTAATGCAAAGGGTAACAAAAATATTCCTATACAGCTATTGTTGAGGATTAGCTCTGTTGCCTGAAATCAATGATTCTACAATAGTATTTGCTATCAGAATAAACTCGGGAGCTTTTAAAAATCCCTAAAGCCCAGGCCAAGCACATACCAGTTAAATCAGAATCACAGGGTGGGACTTCAAAATTGAAGTTTTTTTTGACAATTCCTATGGCAATTTCTGGCTTCCCCAGTGGTTCAGCACTAAGGAATCCGCCGCAATGCAGAAGACACAGGAGACGTGGGTTTGATCCCTGACTCGGGAAGACCCCCTGGAGAAGGGAAGGGCAACCCACTCCAGTATTCCTGCCAGGAGAATCCCATGGACAGAGGAGCCTGGAGGGCTTCGGTCCATCGGGTCGCACAGAGTCAGACAAGACTCAAGCTACTGAGCACACAGCACATGGCAATTTCTGTGTAACCAAGGTCCAGGGCTAGTTAGACACCAGCTGGAGATGCAGAATCACGAGCTGCAGCCCAGACCTACTGAATCCGAATCTGCTCTTTAGCAAGTTTTATGGGAAATCTGGGTGCACATTGTATTTTGAGGTGCCCTGATAAGTCACATAGACAGTTTGACTTGACGGAAAACCTAGGCTTACGTCCTTTTAAAATAACTGCTAGTCATTTACACAGTCATTAGAATAAGTTGCCAAATATATGCTAGGCACTAGATATATAATGGTGAACAAACAATACAATTTCCTAACAGCATGGAGTTCATAGGTTAAAGTAATTTTTTAAAAAACCTAAAATGTTACATAAATAAATATAGAATTATAAACTGGTAAGTGCTGCAAAGGAAATGCACAGGTTGTTAGAAGAGGCTATGGCAGAAGGCTCTTTTTTGTTTAGAGGTTAAGAAAGCAATTTCTGGTATTTGAGCTCTGATTAAAAGGATAAGAAGTTACAGAAATTAACTAGGTAGTGAGCATGAGGGAAAATATCATAGACGAGTGTAAAGAGGTTGACATGGAGGAAGATGGCATGTTTGAGATTCTGAAAGAAAATCTTAGGTGAAACACAAAGAAGGAGAATTATAATAATACCGAATGATTCTGGACATGTATATAGGATCAATAGCATCGGTATTTTACAGCCACTTTAAAGATCTATGGCCTTTCTCCAAGAGCAATGGGAAATTCCTGAAGGTTTTTAAGGAGTATGGGAGGGGTTTACATATTTTAAAAATAAGAGAACCAGATCCAGGGCAGACATTTGCACAAACCTAGCCAGTGCCGTTTCTGTTTTAATTGTTTAGTTGCTAAGTCTTGTCTGTCTCTTTGGAACCCCATGGACTATAGCCCACCAGGCTCCTCCATGGGATTTCCCAGACAAGAACACTGGAGTGGGCTGCCATTTCCTTCTCCAGGGGATCTTTCCAACCCAGCAATCAAACTCATGTTTCCCACATTGGCTGGCAGATCCTTTACTGCTAAGCTACCTGGAAGGCTCAGCAACAGTGTCATTATTAGTACAGTGAAAGGAACGATGCTCTCAGGGCCGTGTAATCCACACCTTGACCCATCATTTCCATTCTCATCCCCGACTCCCTTGGTCTGGGAACTCAGACTGAATCTGGGATAAATTCAAGGTAGGAAATAAAGTTATCTGGTGTAAGTAACTAAGTTAATAAGAAAGATCTTATTGAACAGTTTTTTATATGACGTGAAAGTAGATCTTTCTATACATATAAGTGGGTTGAATTATTTCTCGAGGTTGTTTCCAGTTTTATCATATGAATTTTAAGTGATATTGTCTTGGGGGAAAATAATCCTCTTCTACACTTGCTTAATTTTCTTTCCCTCAACAGATTTGTCAAAGCATCTGGCCAGAAATCTAAAAATAGCCTCTCAGTGGTTCGCTGTCCCTCTTCTGCCTTCCTCAGTGTTACCATGGGGATAGCCTAATGAAGGATGGAGGCGTCTGAGAAAGTGCTAAGAAGCCACTGGGATCTGCAGCCTGCTTGTTCTGAGGGAGTCAATCTAGGTGATAACAAAGGCAAGCTACTGCCTCCTTTCCATTGATTAAAAAAAGATGAATCTTCAGGGTGCCCAAAGCCTCACAACAACCCACAGCAAAGGTAGATGTGTTGTCAAGGGCGGGAACTCGCTGTGAACGAGACTAAACGGTTTCTACATAGCCAAATACGTCTTCACGCTGCACCTGGCAGTAGGAGGAAGATGGCATGTTTGAGATTCTGAAAGAAAATCTTAGGTGAAACACAAAGAAGGAGAATTATAATAATACCGAATGATTCTGGACATGTATATAGGATCAATAGCATCGGTATTTTACAGCCACTTTAAAGATCTATGGCCTTTCTCCAAGAGCAATGGGAAATTCCTGAAGGTTTTTAAGGAGTATGGGAGGGGTTTACATATTTTAAAAATAAGAGAACCAGATCCAGGGCAGACATTTGCACAAACCTAGCCAGTGCCGTTTCTGTTTTAATTGTTTAGTTGCTA